TGAGCGTGCACACTGAACAAAACGTCAGCGCATCAGCCATGACTAATCTAAACACCTCTGATTGGCCATTGCATTCATAAACTCAACACAATTGTGTGTGATTGGTTTTAATGCTCAATGCTGTAAAAACTTGTAAAAAGATCTGACACAACATGTGCAGATCTAAATTTAATTGACACTTTTCTTTTTGTTTTCACTTCATTCATGTCAGATGTAATAGATTTAGTTTAACAGTGCAGGGGCATTTTTGTCTAATTTTGTGGCAGCGTGTACAGCGTGTGTATATCTCTGCTTGTAAACAAGGTGCAGCGCATACATGTTCTACTTCAGCAGCACCGTGCACATGCATTGTTTACATGCAGAGGAAAGCATGCGCATGTGTCGTGTACTCTCGATAATGGCGGAATACTATGGCAAGCCGTTTTTACTTTTATTCCTTTACGGGATATGAATTCTTGATATCAACAATTACATTTTTACTAGTTAAAATGTTAATTCTTGATATCAGGAATTAGATTTCTTCTAGTAACAATTGCTGTTTTTGATATCAGCAATTACATTTCCACTAGTAACAATGTTAATTCTTGATATCAACAATTACTTTTCAACTAGTAAAAACTATAATTCTTGATATCTGTAATTGTATTTTCACTAGTTAAATGTCACCATAGGCTGCCATTCAAAATCAATTGTTGATATCAAGAATTAATTTCTTACTAGTTGAAATTCCAATTTCACATATCAGAAATACAATTCGTACTAGTAAAAACCTTTATTTTTGATATCGATTTTATTAATATGGAAGATATAGAGTGAATGCGCTCTGACTCATAACACTCGCGCACGTGGAAGAAAAGGGACACTCCAGATCACATAATTCAGTGGATAATTAATAGAAATTATATTGAGAACTTGTGAGAATAAACCTGTTCTCAGATACCAAAGATAACAAAAACTCCTCATCCACTCTCTTCTCTCTCTGGATACTCTTCTTCTGTGTTACAGTAGTTTAAACTGGGTTTCGAAACAGCGCCACCACTCTTGCCTTTTTGTACAACAGTAGCTGCTCCGGGCACATGATGTAATGCTCAAATCTTATTGGACGGCCCGTGTTTTCGCTTTGCGAAACTGAAAAGATTCGTCTGACTGGTTTTAAAAAAAGAAGAAACATTCGCATTTTCGGTGCACGAATGTTCACGGTCTATGTGGAAGCATCCATAGGAATCTTGTTTTATTCCAGCACGTCATCGCATCCGATATTCGTTTCGCTTTTTCGCGCTCAGTGTGGAAAGGCCTTTACTCGTTATTTTTGTTTTCTTTGCACACAAAAAAATTCTCGTAGCTTTGAAAAATTACGGTTGAACCACTGATGTCACATGGACAGTTTTAACGATGTCCTTACTACATTTCTGTGCCTGGGAACATTTCAGTTGCGTTGCTATCTATGGAGGGTCAGAAAGCTCTCGAATTTCATAAAAAATATCTTAATTTGTGTTCCAAAGATGTTTTATTTTATTTTTGCTTTATTTCAATTCCAAAAATGCAGATGCGTCATCTTGCCTCACAATTATGAACTGTAGTGAAATTTACTGTAATAAGTAGAGTTTGTCAGGCTGATTGTTTTGCAATGGAATATTTTATATTTTATACAGGTGAAATGATTAAAATTGAGAATTAAAATTCAAATGTGAAAAGTTTAATGACCGGTCGTAATCATAATCATCTCAAAAGATCTTTGATTTGTCTTATAACAATCTTAGAATTGTCTTTGTTCTTTAAAAAAAAAAAAAATTATAACTGTATTCAGAATGATTTGTAATTCCACTCACTTAACAACCAAGTGGACATACACTGGAGAAAAGTCAGATTTTCATCCTCTTAATGTAATTCATGTCTAGCTCTCAAATCCAAATCCTTTGTTTGAAGGGACACACACTTAGGGCTTTTCAAAACACTTAATATTCATCTCCAAGTGCGTCTATTGGATATTTAAAACTTTTCTGAGTGGTGAGAGACAGGGATTATATACCTGTGCAATTACCTCTTAGATCTAGCCATTGTTCCCAAACTGCACAGTAATTATTCAGGTGATTGCCACCAGAGAAAAGCCATTGTTCAGACTACAAATTCCATACAGCATAGTCATTCACAGTGCTGAAGTTAGCCAATGACACCAACAGTAATCATCCTGTACATATTCAAGCATAATGACCACCCACAAGCTCAAACAACGACACCGTAATCACAAACATAACTAAACTATTCTTTGTTAAACCCACGTGCCGTATTGTAGGTCGTTACGCACAAAGAACGGGGCTGAACTTTGTCCTTTGAGGGTTAGTAAAGAATAGAGAAGAGATCAGTATTCAGACTGAGTTCCTGCCATGCTTCTATTAAGTAGGAGAGTGGCAGACTGATTATCCACATTGTTGGCAGTGGTGGGAGTGGACTGTACTGGGCCATTTTTGTATTAACGTTCTGATCAAATTTTCATAACTCAATTTGGTGGAGGTTTGGATGTTGAGGATTGAGCACATCGGGAAAGCTCTCTAGTGCCTTTGCCCATGTAATGCGCCGGTCGCGTGACATTGTCGGTGACAATATTGTGAGTTTTTTGTACTTATGCTGCTCATATACTTAGTATATACTTGATTGCCCAGAAGTAAATGTTGTTGCTCAGATGTTGCTCTTTATAGCTTATGAGAACGACGGTTATGAAGTTATAGTCCAAAAAATCAAATTTTTATCATATTGTACTTTTAGGCAAAGATTTAAAAATTGCATGGGTTTTTGTTGGTTTTCATATTTGACTTTTATGGGTTCTATAGTATGATAGGAGAAGAGGGAAAAAGCATGCATTTTATTCAAAGGCCCAAACTTTAATAATAATAATATAATAAAATAGCAGACTAATTACATAAAATGCATATAAATATCAGTTGTCACTTATGATATTTAAATGCTTAGTTTTATGATCAAAGCTCTGTAGTTTTTTTTTTTTATTGTAGGGGCAAAGCATATAATGGAATGCAATACAATGATGATTGGGAGATGGAAAAAATACATTCCTCACAATGATCATATATGATTCTCACATTTTAACATGATTTTTCAAAAAAATTATGTATGGCTAGTAAAGTAAACCTAAGTTGCTTCAGTCCAGTAAATGTTCATTTTGAAATATTACTAGCAATATAAAAGTTATGTAATTGAGATATTTAACAGATCTCACTTGTTCTTTTCTCGTTCCTACAGGTTAATTAAGAAAAAGTGGATCACATTACATTAAAGGACCACATGGAGATTTTGCAGTAGAAAAATATAAACATTGTAAAAATCATGCTGCATGCATGATGGAAAACATTGTTTATTGTCAGCTCTATATGCTTCGCCATCATTTAATGATCAAGTGACCTGTCAAGTAAAAGCACTGAGGATATTCCACATCTAAAGCTTCTTATTGACAGAAAGACACGTCACCTTTATTTGTATAGCGCTTTTAACAATACAGATTGTGTCAAAGCAGCTTTACACTATTAAATAGGAAAAATAATGTGTAATAATGCAAAACAGTAAAAAAAAAAAAAGGTGTGCAAAATTTTCTCTTTAAGGTTGCATTCACATCTGATTTTTTTTTTTGGGGGGGGCTGCCGTATTTGAGACATTCAAACACTAACAATTATTTAGATGTATTCAATGAGTTTTAAAAATCAAAGAACTGGAAAGGTCATAGAAAGTTTGGATAACATGAAACATGCATATGTTTTCTTGAGTCAGATGCATTACTGAACATCAGTCTATCAGAGCTTCATCGCTATGGCAACAATACTGAAATCCAACTTAAACTTACAGTTATTATTATTCTTCTGAGACTAACATTTCTGACTCTAACTCCTCCTAGAGCTTTAACTCTACAAACTCCAAACTCAGCCCAGATCTTCAGACTGATCTGACTCGAGTTGCTATATCTTTTCTAACTGATCAGACTTACGATTTTCAAATGAAGATTAAAAATCATAAAAATTCCATAGACTTACATTGACGGAATGTTCAAATGAGCCAAGACTATTCAAACTCCAGCTGTAAAAATTCTATCTATCTATCTATCTATCTATCTATCTATCTATCTATCTATCTATCTATCTATCTATCTATCTATCTATCTATCTTTATAGCAACACTCTAGCAACTAGCCAAATCAACCTAGCAACCACCCTCAGTACCCTAGCAACCACATAGCAACACCCTAGCAACCACTCCGGGTACCCTAGCAACCAGATAGCAACACCATAGCAACCACCCCAGGTACCTTAGCAACCGTATAGCTACTCCCTAGCAACCGCCCCAGGTACCCTGGCAACCGCCTTAGCAACCACCCCAAGTACCCTAGCAACCGCTTAGCAACACCCTACCAACCACCACAGTTAGCCTAGCAACCGTCATAGCAACCATTTCAAGTACCATTGCAACCACCTAGAATACCCTAGCAATCACTCTGAGGTCCTTATCTATCTATCTGTCTATCTATCTCTGACAGATTGTATTGCCTTCAAAACATTCCAATTTTAAGCTTACTTTAAACGTCAAACTATTTCAGACTTAAAACCACCCAACTTAAAACTTTTTTTAAACTTTTTGAAACTTTCTGGTCCAGACCTTTCTCAAGCCAGCTTAAAGTTTGTGTTGATAAACTTTTTTTTTTTATCTAGTCTCGGTTGTTATTCTTAAATATTTTCCATTCTTCTTAAATTCGCATTGAGAATCAGAGTCATAATATAAGTTAAAATAACATATATTATTAATACATTTTTAAGTTTAACCTTGGTTTTACCACTTGTTGCAATTTAAAAAAAAATCCTAAATTGGGGGGGGGGTTAGAAAATGTAGAGGAAATGTTTCTGATCCAAGCTACCTGATGATGGCAGTAATGCACTATTAAGTGTGGTTGCCAGTAAAAGAAAGAAGAAGAAGAAGAAAACTAACGAAGCGGAAGAAGAACCGCCTCAACACTAGATGGCGGCAGTGAGTCGTTCACAAACAGACCGTCCTGCGATGAGACGAGAAGTGCAGCACTAACAGCGGTATGTTCTTTGTTATAAATAATAAACGTTTTTTTTTTAGTTATTTAGCATTATTTGCGTTTGACTAGAAACACGTACTGCAGATTTATAAGCTATATATTTGTATTATGTGCATTTGACACAAGTTAGCATCTTATCGCAAGACGGTGCAGGACGGGGCTTGTGTTCCTTAATTTCTCCAAACATTATTCACAAATAAATTGTTTGCAGATTTATAAAACACCTAAGTATAGACAGAATAGTCACCATTTTACTAGTGTGTAACGTAACGGGACATTGGGCCTGTGCGTATTCATGCGAGAGGCTTACGAATGCCCAAAATGTTCAGTTCAGTGCTCAAATGATTCCCTGAACGTTAGATTCGAGCATTCGAACGCACCTATCATGATCAAATGTTCGAATTTAACATTAAAATGCTCCTCTGATTCCCAAGATGTTAGAAAACGCATGTGGTAGTCCAAACGACAATATTCTTACAATATTCTAATGTGCCTATGGCCTAAATGAGAAAAAAAACAAGTACAACCAGTATGTATTGCATCTGTTCTCTGCAGCTTTATAATCTCCTCTTGTGTTGTGCGCTTCATTTCAGGTCACTCTGAAAAATGTCTGAACCACGAGCTTTTAAGAATCCCTACCCAGATTACACTGGGCCTGGATGTGCACAAGACTTTTTTGACATGCAGGGAAATGTGAGTGATTCCAAAACATGACATGGGATCCCTTTTTGTAGTTTACAAATAATATGCTATGCTTAGACATTATTGGAGTACCGTAGTATATGGATATAATAAACATTCATTACCTTCACTGAATTACATTGTGCTTTCATACTTGTATTCATCGTCACATCTTATTTATGAATTTTTTGCTCTGAGCAGTTGACCCAGCATTTTGCCAGCTGTATAAGCAGCAAGATCAGTGAGCTTCTGGCGGTCATGGAGAATGGACTGAAGAACGCTGACCCCAGAGACTGTACTGGCTACACTGGCTGGGCAGGTGAGAATGCACACATAGGTTTATTAAAAGTTGAAACTGAATTAATGCAAATTCTGGTAAACTGTGTATGGCAAAGCGTCATTAAAATCAGCCTCTGTAGATGGGTTTGCTTAAAGGGATAGTCATAATTTACTCACCCTCATGTCATTTCAAACCTGTATGCATGTTTTTTTTCTTTCTGCTGAACACAAAAGAAGATATTTTGAAGGATGTTGATAACATGAACATGAGTAGTATAAATGTAGTAATGATATTTTTTTTTACTGTGCATCCCTTAAAGGGATAGCACACCCTTTCTTCTTTCTTTCTGTCTTTTGATGAACAAAAAATAAGATATTTTAAAGAATGTTGATAACTAAACAGTTTCATTTCCCTTTGACTTCCGTTGTATTTTTGTCCATACAATTGAAGTGATTGGGAAATGAAACTGTTTACTTACCAACATTCTTTGAAATATCTTATTTTTTTGTTCAGCAAAAGAAAGTAAGTCATACTGGGCGAGTAAATGATGACAGAATTTTCATTTTTGTGTGTACTATCCCTTTAAGGGATGCACAGTAAAAATTATTATTATTACGTTTATACTACTTATGTTCATGGTTGAATGTCATAAAACTACTTCGCCCGCATTGCTAAGACCCTCCTCCCCCAACTGCAGGCATTGCCCTGCTCTACCTGCATCTCCACAGCATCTTTGGAGACTTCTCTTTCCTCCAGAAGGCTCTGGACTATGTCAGCCACAGTCTGAGGAGTTTAACCCAGCGCTGGGTGACCTTCCTGTGTGGGGATGCAGGGCCGCTGGCTGTTGCTGCGGTGGTCTATCATCGACTCCAGAAACCTCATGAGGCTGAGGAGTGTGTGAACAGGTATGATGCTGTTTGACCCTGCTCCACCTCCATCTTTTTGTATGCTGAGTCAGTGACATCACTCTTATCTAAATATATAATCAAATTAAAATGAATTATATAATTTTTGTCTGGTACTAAGTTATTCAAAGATATTCAAAAATTTAAGGAAAAAAAAATATATATAAGCCTTTATTTAATCATGGCTTAAATATTAAAAGCAAGTATCAAATGTCCATACATCAGCCGACTGTTTTTGTTGTTCACACGCTGATGAAGGCTCATTACCCGCAACACGTTGGTGTATGGACTTTTGGTACTTGCTTTTAATATTTAAGTCATGATTAAATAAAGGATTTTTTTCCCTTAAATTTTCAAGTGCCTTGGTTTGATATGTTTTTCAAGAGTTGAACTATCCCACACCCAAAGAGTACCGACTCTACCGAGATATGGATTTTACTCCCTGTGCAGCACTTTTATGCATCTTTTGCTTATTCAAAAATATATTAAATGAGGGACAATGATTTTAATACATTTTTAAGGATTTAATGGTTATTTTTAATAAATGCACGTGTGTGTGTGTGTGTAATTTTTTAAAATCAGTATATGTCTTATTAAAAGACTACAATTCTTTAAACAAATAATAAAAAGATTAGCAGTGAAGCATTTATTTGTTTTAAATAATAATAAAAGTCATACTTGTAATGCCAAGGCAATGCCATTTTAGATTTATAGGAAAAGAAAACTGCAAGACAAAGTCAGAAGACCCTTGTAGACCTGTAGAAAAATAATAATAAAAAAAAATACCTATATATATACACACACAGTATCTCACAGATTACTGACATTTTCACTTAGGGGTGTACTCACAAATTTGTACTGTTATACAAGCTGTGCACTCACTACTTCACATTGTAGCAAAGTGTCATTTCTTCAGTGTTGTCACATGAAAATATATAATAAAATATTTACAAATATGTGAGGGGTGTACTCACTTCTGTGAGATACTGTATATATACACACACAAATACACTTCTGTTTGTCACTGACCCATGTAAAGTTGATTACTATGGGGAATTTAGATTTATTATTATTATTATTATTATTTAAATCATGTAGGAAAATTAAATATCATTTTTCATCCAAAAATAGAAATTATGGAACAACTATCGTAATGTAGTGTTTGTTGTCGGCTGTCCACATTGAATCTAATTTATTTTGGATTGCTGGCTTGTTTAGGACTTATAACTACCTGTTTGTCACTGACCCATGTAAAGTTGATTACTATGGGGAATTTAGATTTATTATTATTATTATTATTATTATTATTTAAATCATGTAGGAAAATTAAATATCATTTTTCATCCAAAAATAGAAATTATGGAACAACTATCGTAATGTAGTGTTTGTTGTCGGCTGTCCACATTGAATCTAATTTATGTTGGATTGCTGGCTTGTTTAGGACTTATAACTACTTTAATGAAATTGCGCTGGAATTCTCCCAAGAGCTGGTGTTCATTAGAAATCTCATACTAAGATTCCAGAACGAGGGTGAAATGTGCAAGATTTCTTGATCTGTAGGGCAGCTCAGCACTTTCTGTTTCCTGTTTCTCTTTCTCAGTTTTGACAGGGTTTCATTCCCATGGGAACTTATTGTGATCTATTTACTTGAATGTTTCCAGGCTGTTGCATTTTCACCAGTCAGTAGTGCAGGGGAATGGCAGGCTTCCTGATGAGCTGCTCTATGGCAGAGTGGGCTACCTTTACTCCCTCATCTTCATTAACCAGCAATTTCAGCAGGAGAAGATCCCCATTCAATACATTCAACAGGTCAGTCACTATTCATTTGGCCTCAGACCTGACCAAAAGCACATGACCTCGTATTGTAACAGGATACATGACTAGAATGAGTTACATATGATGAAGAATATATGTTGCACTTAACATGATCAAAATCTACCCTTTCTAAATGCCCCTGGTCTTATTGAAAAAAAAGAGTTTCTCATTAAAATGTAATATATTTCTCAGTCTCTGAAATTGCTTCTGTCATGTGCTGATGTTACTAAGAACATGCAGACAGAGAAAAATAATATATCCAAAATATTTGTTTATATACAAAAATAAAAGATAATATTGTAGTCCAACCTTCATAATCCAATCCCAATGGAAAAAACTAAGCCATACATTATTTCTACTGTTAAATTTTATTTTTATTTTTTCAATGACTGGTAATGAAATATAGAAAGCAGGCCAGATGACTAGTATACACCATTCAAACTTTGGTGCCAGTGATATTTTTTGATAGAAATGAATGCTTCTATTCAGCAAGGAATACAATGTATCCAAATTTAAAAGTGATAGTAAAACATAATGATACAAAAGTTTCAAATAAATCTTTTGAAGTTTACATTGATAATAATTAGAAATGTTTCTTGAGCACCAAATCAGCATATTCAAATAATTTCTGAAGGATCATGTGACACTGAAGACTAAAGTAGTGATGCTGAATTTAGCTTTTCATCACAGGAATAAATTACATTTTGAAATATATTCAAATAGAAGACATTTTAAATTGTAATAATATTTCGCAATATTACTATTTTTTTACTGTTTACTTTAAAAATAATTTAAAATGTACAGTCACCAAACTTTTGAATGAGGTTATATATTTTGGAACTGACAATTGACAGTTAACATATAAATGTCTGACAGTTTCTAAATATTGGCCAGTTAACATTCCTTAATATATAAATAAGGCCATACATCATTTTAATATATAATATTTTATACATATTTAGAAATATGTCACTTTATGGAAATTAAATGCATTGGGAAAGCACATGTTTTGCCTTTGATTCGCTATTTGACCTGATCATGCGTTTATTTCAGATCTGTGATGCAGTGCTGGATTCCGGACAGAATCTGTCTCAGAAGAACAAGATCCAGGAGCAAACCCCTCTCATGTATGAGTGGTATCAGGAGGAGTATGTGGGTGCCGCTCATGGCCTGGCAGGGATCTACTACTACCTGATGCAGGTGAACTCAATCACTCACTATACCTTATTGATTGAGAAAGCAACAAATATAGGGAAATAACTTTACCACTGTGGCTGAAGCAAGCAATCTTTCCCCCCATAGCCTGGCTTTGTGGTTGGCGAGGACCGAGTTTACCATCTAGTCAAACCCAGTGTGAACTACATGTGTCAGCTAAGGTTTCCATCAGGCAATTACCCACCGTGGGTTGGAGATTCTCGGGATCTTCTGGTGCACTGGTGTCACGGCTCTCCTGGAGTGATCTACATGTTGATACAGGCTTTTAAGGTACAAATCTGCACATCAGGTCGTAATAACATCTTAAATTGTCTGTTTATATCAATAGATAGAGATCGATTGATCTCTATGCACACTACTGTTCAAAAGTTTGGGGTCAGTAAGATTTTTAGTTTTTGAATGAAGACACTTATGCTCACCAAGACTACATGTATTTGATTTTTTAAAAAAATCAAGTAAAAAGAGTAATATTGTGAATTACATTTATTACAATTTTTAACTGTTTTCTATTTTATATATTTAAAAATGTAATTAATTCCTGTGATGACAAAGCTGAATTTCCATGAGCCCTTAAAGGGTTAGTTCACCCAAAAATGAAAAATTAGCCCATAAATTACTCCCCCCCCCCCCCCCAACTCCCCCAAAGCGTAAA